TTGTAGCTGTTAATGCTTGGCTTTTCAATGAAAAATTGCATAAACATTTCTTCGCCAGTTGGTTTAGCTAGTTGCTTGATGACATGTGAGCAGCAAAAAAAATGCCTTATCACCTACCTGCTGCGTGGATACGCATTTCGGCTGTGCCACATCCACATTCCTTTTGGCATCTGATTTGTATTCCAACGCTTACATTTCATTATGGTACAAGCTAACTATGTACATACATACATAGTTGGCACTTGGCTAATGGGCGCTGCTGTAATTGCCACTGGCATTGAGCAGAAAAATCAACAGCAACATACCTCAAGTTGGTTAAGGTGACAGCGTAGAGATAGCAATAAGAAAGAAATAACTGTATAGAAGTAAGAGAGTCAACTATCGACATTGTGACTGTTGGACTCACAATAATGCCTTTCATATGCCTTTAAATCTAACTTTCTATCCTTGTCAAAGTTATTTACTGTTTGCTGTTGTTGATTATTTTTTGACAGTTTTGCATTTATTTATTTTCTTCTTTTATTATTATTATTATTATTTTTTCCTTTTTTTAATGTATTCAAATTTCGTATAATAAGCTTAATTTTTGTCTGTTTCGCAGCCACTCTCTTAGTCTGGACTTTAAATCAGCCAAATGGTTAGTCAGTTGCCTTAATTCCTTTCTAAACTCTAATACACTGTCTGGACTCGCTTCTTATGTTCCTCTTCCAAACGAAATTTTTATTGCAAAAAAAAAAAATAAAACGAAATTTGTGACAATCAACTTTTATTTAATCAAAGCTTTTATTTGATTGGCAGCAGTTTATATTACAAGCCAATGCCTTTTCTAAAACTCAATTACAAGTCAATTATGGCATTTTCTTCTTCGGGCAGTTCAATGTCTGTGCATATAATTTGTGTCTACTTGTTTGTTTGTATACAATTTCGTGGTGTATTAAGTTTTTCTCCCGCCTCACTAAATCTTGGGTTATTCAAATTTTATTTTGAGCGCATCACGCAAAACAGGCATTATTACTGCGAGCATTTGGTTCGATTGTTTTTAAATGCGATTAGATTAATGTAATCCTCAATTGAATACTTTGCCACCACATTGTTGTGTTAATTTGAGGTTAATTTGTTTTCTTCATGATTTTCTTTTCTGTTGCTGCGAATCGCATTGATTGCTGATCATTTGTCCTTTTAATTAACTTGAACTTAAAAAAAGACTATGGGCTCAAGTAGCCTTTTCTCATTTTAATATCTTCTACTTTGAGTAGTGTTTTGTCCCTTATGTATATATATATGTGCATTAGGGTGGTCCGAAAATGCATGTGAAAAAGTAAAGTCAATTTAAATGGCTGTCTGCCATTAGGATTGTTCTATACCGAAGAAAATTATACCCCTGCTTTGAAATTAAGAAAATTTTGAAGGTCGCTCAAAGTTTTATTACCCAATTTTTTATTATACAATTTTATAATACTATCGATTTTCATGCGTCCCCCATTGCATTTTTTGACGTTTTAAGGGGTTTTATAAAAAATACTTATCTAATAATGGAAAATGCTTAGCTAAACAATTGGGTATTGTTATTGGAAGTCTACTGAAGAGAAGCGAAGTTTTCGAATCGAAAAAATATTGATTTTCAAGAATTCTATACCATTTCTACAAAAACATGTTTTTTCCCCCCATATAAAATACATGGAAATCTTGAAGCTCTTTGTGCGACCTCTATTTATTTTTTAATTTCCAAACAAAAAAGCCGGGGTATAGAACAATCCTAGGTAGTGAGAACATTAAAATTCCAAAACCAATATGGTCTGTGCTAGAGATGGGCACGGGACTAAATACTTAATCCCGATCCCGCCCAACCCGTAATCTAATTTTTAAGCCCCGAACCCACTCATCCCGACTCTTTTCAGAATAGTACCGCGGGTCTCGTGGGTCCCGAAATCACTATCACTATCTTTCAAATTTATTTTAAGTAATAATGAAAGATCTGGCTTCTTGCGATTATTATTTTTTTTTAACTTTCATCTCAATAAAACATAAAAAAGTGCTTATTTCATAAAATGTTTTTAAGGAAGTTTTTCTGAATTTGCGGAGTCTGCGGGTTTTTTCGGGAGTATATGGCATTTCCAGCCATTGTCAACGCTAACTCAGCTTGGCTATCACACGTCGCTTTAAGCATCGCCATTGGCTAAGCACGCCTATCCGCACCCTGAATATATCCCAGTTCATTGCGCAGCAACCTACGGCAGCTAGAACATGACTCCTCCAATGGAGTCACCCAATTTATAAATGCTAAATGGTCACATTTTGAGCTACCGCTTCATCGGTCGTCTGCCCCATCATTCAATTATACAAGGTTATGTAATTTGTGACAGCTCAAATTTGACACTCCTTTATGTAGATTTGTATTTTGGAAGTAGGAGAAAGGGCAAGAATGTGATCGCCTTTTGCGAAGACAGTAGTAACTAGTAATTTTTAGCAAAAAAAAAAAACCGACTTCAACTCCCATATAAAAAAAAATATATATATATATATCTCATGATCCGCTGATCGGATCTTAACCAGATTAGTATGGGACCACCTCTGAGACACTACCTTTTCGATTATCGAAATCGGTTGACGTGGTCCAAAGTTATGCGGTAACATACAAAAAAAAAAAAAAAAAAATATTCCGACGAACTGATAACCTCCTCCTTTTTTGGAAGTCGGTTAAAAAGTACACGAAGAACACACGTTTTTGGTATGAAATAGGAGCAGAAAAAAATGTTACTCATACGCCATATCGTACATGGCTGTACTCGTTCATGGCTTATGAGTAACATTTTCCATGTTACATTTTTTTTTCATTCATCAGGACTTAAAATGAAAATATCTTAGAAAAATTATCTGATCTAGAAAAGCAGTATTCAGATCCCTAATCTTCGACCCAAAATTAAGTTTAGGTGTCTTGGTGTTTTTGTGTGTAATTTTAGCGTTCCTACAGTCTTCGTGTTCATGATATAACGCATGTTTTTGGAGATTTCAACAAACAATTAATGGGCTTGATAAGGAGAATATGCTCAGCCTAACAGATGACTAAACTTACCAAAATGGCGAAGATATGTGTCTTTCCGTCTGTTTCTTGGTATACCAATTGTATGAACTTCTAATAATTCTGCATATTATTAAACGTGCGATATGTACATACATGTGTACATTGATAAGAGTGAAAATAAAAAATTCGTATCTTTAACCAGTATCTAAATATGTGCGTATGTTGGTATATGGGCAAATCCAAAAAGCAGGTACACTTTCAAAACAAAAACTTAAGTTTGTTTTTTTGTTGGCACACCTATGTTTTATATATGATTCTATTCAAAAAAAAAGAACAAGTTGGGTATAAATTACGCTGGGCACGTTGTAGATTTTTAGCAAAGATTTTGAAAGTTGAACTCATTTAATTAGGCCGTTCTAAGTTCAATGGCGTCCGTCCCGTTTTACCAGGTTTACTCCGCTTTTCGAGATAACGGTACTTGAAAATTTTATTAAATTTGAACTATTTTATAAATAACTCCCTCAGTTTAGAAGTTATTTTACTAAAATTTTGCACATAACGGGTTTTTAATATTACCTTAATTATTCCTTAAAATTATCGAAATAGGTTCACTTTAACATATATATATATAAAATATCTTCAAAACTGAGGAAGTTTTTTTATAAAATAGTTAAAATTTAAGCAAAGCTTCAAGTACCGCTATCTCGAAAAGTGGAGCCAATCGGACAAAACTGGGGACGCCATTGAATTTAGAAAGCTCCAATTAAGTAAGAGCTACTATCATATGCTTTGTCGAAAAAAATTAATTTGATACGACGCTCGAAATATTCTAACTATAAATCAGGGTTTTTACACACTTCTAGAGCAACATTTTTTTAAGCATTTTACTGGTATATGTAACGTTATAAGGACCAGTAGTTACAAAAATATTTAGATCGTTTCGACGTATTTTCCAAATGTGTCTTCAATTAAAACGTTTTTGGAATAAAATAAATATTTTATCTTTAAAATTTGGTTTATTCTGAAAACCTCACACCTTTTGCTAAGGTATCAAATTATTCGTTATTGTTCGTAGAATACAATGCATACTTAAAAAGATTTTTAAAATTAAATGCTTCAAAAACCATGCGCGATAAACCGAAAATTTTGAAAATTGTGAAAAGTAGAGTGACACAATTTGAGACACTTGCCGTTTAGTTATTTTTTAAAGCACACTTTAGTTACCTACTACATATCGATGGCTGAGTGGAAGATCGACCTATCTCGGCAGCTAGTTCGAAAACGCTCTATCTCAAAAAACTTTTCAAGAACGCCCTATTTCAGAATTTAATTGAAAAACAGCCTATATCAAAATTCGGTTCAAAAACGCCCTATCTCACTTCAAAATGTATTGAAAATATGCTGATATAGGGCGTTTTTGAATCGGCAGCTGAGATAGGGCGTTTTTGAAAAGTTTTTTGAGATAGAGCGTTTTCGAACTGGCTGCCGAGATAGGTCGATCTTCCACTCAGCCATCGATATGAAGTGTACACACATAAGCACTAATTGCACATAAAATTTCAATTCAGTATATGGTGTGCTTCAAAAGTTATGACATAAATAATTATTAACCTCATAAAAATTACGTAAAAAATCAGTTGTTTTTAATATTTTTTCGAATTAAAACATCTATGTATGTATAACTCAAAAGTTATGCAACAAATTGATTAAAACTTTTTTGAGGCGTCAAGTATACGTCTATGAATATATCCAAAAGCAACCAGCTTGATAAAGTCTACAACAATGAAAATAAAGCTAAATAACATAAAGGTTTCCTGTTTTTTAGATTTGTTCATATACTTTAAAATAACCAAAAAAAAAAGTACAAAATTTCTAATTTGATTTTCGTTGGGATTTTGTTGCTCTTTTTTCTGCCTTATTCTATTTGCTTAGTAATCAGTATATCTGCTTTGTTTTTATTTATTTTTATTTTTTCCAGATACCCATACTCGGCGCTAATACTTTGCTGCAAACTTGCTCCACACAACCGTTCAGCGATTCATCATCGTTTTTCGTGAAGGTTATATCGAATATTGGTCTCATCGTCACGGCGCTGGTCGTGCTGGCATTCACTGTTTGGCGTAAGTTTGGTTGGCTAATGCCCGCATGGCTTTCATTGCACTTACTAAGTGTATATACATACTTATATACGCAAACTTTGTACTCTTAGTTTGGAATTTACAATTTTTTTTTCCTCCGATAGCCAGCTAAGGTTTTCTCTAAAACTTTCTATTAGTTTAAGTTTTTGTTTTTCTTGGTTAAATTTTATTACAGTTGCTGACGGACGCTATTTTGTGGTGTTCGTGGCGGTGGCTGCAAGCGAGAACTTTTCGATATTGGCGTTTGGGGAAAAAATTAGTAAATTTGTATTCATACATATTCACATTGTTCTGAAAAATATTACAGAAAATCAAATTGAATTCAATGCAATTATCCATAGTACTTTACAATGGGGGTAGCAAGATTTCTGAATGATAGTAGCGTTGAAACCAGTGTGAAAAATGAACCCGAGCTTCTAGTCGATGACGACGCAGTCGATGTCCCACCAGCAAGGCTGTGACGAAGTACGAATAGCATTTTGCTCAGCTAAAAACAGCAAAGCTGGTGTAGCTGACATCTTATAGAGCGTTTGGTGTGAACGGCTTTGCACCTTAACCACCATAGACTAGTTATTCACCATACGCCAAATTTTCCACCTCCATGAACCTCAAAATCCGTATCGTTTATTAGCGTTTGGTGGTAAACGAACAGGAGACGAAATATCTCCTGTTATCTGTAAAACAACCAGCACATTCGCGCCACGGCGCCTACTGTTGCCATTTATATAAATTCGAAAACGATAGGAGTTCGTTTTTTCTGTAACCAGCATAATAATAGGTTTGGTTTGGTAAGGTGTAACTGAGTCCCAATGACCAGTTTGCTTAGACCTTGCACTTCCATTGTGATACCCCTGCGAAACACGGGAACCTCAGTGGCTATTCTTCACAGAATGATTTTTAAACTCTTATAAAGCGTAGGTTACTGGCTTTACTCCTACGCCTGATAATTTCGTAAAAGTGTTAAAGAAGTGCCTACCTAAAAAGCCTGCAGAAGATGTGCTCTACTGTTTCTTTCTCTTCCGCATCCGTGCAACTTCTTCAATATTTGTGGGAGAATATTCCTAGTCTTGAAGGGGGCTTGCCAAATTGCCAATACCCGGCTGCACCATCGCAATATCCTCTCTTGAGAAGCTGAGCAACTATTTCGCCCTTTTCTTATCTATTTGTGACCTTAGTAGCCTGGTTGTTCTACAAGTGCCCCATCTAGGCCATGACCTGTTGGCCTCGTGGATCATGTTAATTTTAAGTCCTAATTTGCTGGTTGCCATGGGTATCCCAAGCTTACCTCTGCTGTCACACAGTGGAAGATTGCTACCTTTCCTTGCTCGCTCATCGGCTCTGCAATTTCCTTCAATATCTCTATGTTCCGGGACCCATATGAGACTGAACTTGAATACGGCGGTAATATAGTTCACAGCTGCGAGGCATTCCTTCGCAAACTTCGATCTCAGTATTATCGCGTTCATTGGTTTTATGGCCGCCTGGCTCTCCGGGAAGATATTAATCGTAAACTTCGGTACGGCATGCGTACTAGGGCCACCTCCTTTATAGCAAAAACTTCTGTCTGATAAACGCTGCAGTGGTATGGAATTCGGCCGGATAATTCCAGTCCTAGTTCCTTTGAGAAGACTGTGTAGCCAACTCTATTTTCTAGCTTGGATCCATCCGTGTAAAAATTCAATTCCTCCCTTCTCCATGGCATTGTTGTTTGCCATTCTCTTCTTGTTGGGATGCCCATCTTAAAGTGCCCATCGAAAGTGGTTTTAGGGATGAAGTAGTCGATTTCTTGGTCATAACTACGTAGAGTGTGAAGTATGGAAGCGGGGCCGAACCACCGATCCTTCCGTAGCACCATACTTTTTAGTCTGAGCGCTGAAGCGATGGCCACGTATTTTCCTGTCAGGTTTATTGCTAGAAAATTGGTAACACTTCTAGTGCTTTGTTTGGGGTACGCCTTATGGCAACTGAAACGCATAAAAACGCAGTTCTTTGGACCTTACTAAGTAGTTTTATCTAAGTGGCCTTTTGAGTTGCTCGCCACTATCCAAATATTTATTCCATGTAATAGTTTTGATCGTACCGCAAATGTTTAAAGCCATTGTATAATACGAGATGTTGACCCCAACTTGATTCCGACCGCTTGTTTGCAAGTGTATAATGCAACCTTGGCCTTCCTAACTCTTTCCTTTACATTAGTCTTCCATGTAAGTTTCCTGTCTAATATGAGTCCTAGATACTAAACATTCCCTTTCAAAGGTTTCTCTACCCCCTTAAAGATTAGCGGGAAGCCTGTGTTTCCTTGTCAAGAGAATTGCTTCGGTTTTATCGGGGTTTATTCCGGGTCCCATACTCTCTGCCCAATTCCTAAGCGTGGCCGTATTAGATCGCAATATATCCATAAGTATATTAGGATATTTACCTTTAATAGTAATTTCCCGGTCATCAGCATTAGCAGTGACGTAGCAGCCTCCTCCTTCTAGGGCTAGTAACAAGGACTTTACTGCCAGAATCCGGTGAAGAGGGGAGAGAACCCCTTTCTGAGGGGTGCTTCTACAGACCTGTCTGCTTATTGTGGTGGTACTAAGCTTAGCGGTTATCTTCCTGCCGACAAGTATAGTCTCAATCAGTGCCGCTACATTATGGTCAACTCACAAACTCTTCTAAGGCACCCGTTATGGTGCTTGCATTAATGTTGAAGGCGCCTTCAAAGCATACTCCTCGTCTGATAAGCTCTTTTCCACCAACCCGACGAGCGAGTGCAAAGCGGTTCCCATAGATTTGCGTTTCATATAGGCATGCTATGCATAAGTCGAGTTTATTTAGTTTTATGAAATATTAAAATATGATTATCAAACAAAAGCGAATAAGACACTAAAAATTCCACCAATCCAATGTACAATCTGTTGCTTGTATAGTCACGCAGCTATTTTGTTGGTTTAGTATCATTGCAAAAAAAAAAGGAAAAAAAAAATCACCAGCTCAGCTCAGCTTAATCACATGTAAAGGCAGCCATTTTATCGTTTTTAGAATTTCAAATTTTCACTTCGCCATCGGTGCCTTTTCAACTTTTGCCACACTTTTAGTCGCCTATATGTACATACATATGTATGCCGAAGGTTTTTGCTTATCGCTTGACATTTCGCATTTCATTGTGCATGTGTCATCCTCTATCTCTATTGTAAAGCTGTATTTTTTTTTTTTTGTTTTGGTTGCATACCGACCTCCATCAAAACACTCAACTCTTCTCTAGTAACGCGCTTTAGCTAAAATTAAGCCAACTGTCGATAATCATTTTGACAGTCAAAAGCTTTACTGCTATTATCAGAAGGGTTCGCAGACTTTGTGGCATGCAACAACCTGCTATTCTAACTCTCTCGAATAGGTAGAGTTGCCAACAATTTAAGCCACCAAAAAATTGCAACTTATTAACACAGCAATAGTGGCTGGGAAATGTTGGCAAAAAGCTAGCAACCTGGACATTGGTAGTGGTAGGCGTGGTGTTGGCATGATGGTTTAGAGATAGTGAACTGTTCATTTGCTGCTACGGGTTGGCAAGTGAATACATACATACATATGTACATATACCACGATACCGCTTTATGGTTTTTTGCTGTAGTTTTGTTGCTTACTTTTTGGCTGCGTAACCAATTAACTTGGTGCTTGTAGTGGTACAAGTGGATTTTATGTTTTTGCATTTCAACTTACAACCCATCTACATTGGTGTGCTGTTTTTGGTATGCATGTACATACATATGTCCATAGTCATATTGACGATATGTAGCGACTACCTCCTACTGATGCGCGTATGTGCGCCACAGGAAATACGCCAACTAAATTCATGGCATAACAAAAACAAACACATCAGACGTAGTCGTTCGGACAAAAAAAAAATATTTCCTAAAACTGATAAAAACAATTTTCGCCATGTTGATGGTCTTAACAAAAATACTATACACACATGCCTCTGTGTATATTAAGTCGCACATACATACATACAAACATTTATTTGTATGCATGCGTTTCGACACAGCGCCCAAAACAGCACCACCAGCGTCAACACAAATACAAAGCTCGTGTGTGCTGCCTCTACACTTTTGGGTCTAAAATTGTGGCAACAACCGCTTGGATGTTTTGCTATTTTTCTCTAAATCCACCTGTAAGGACAATTCCAGGAGAGTGTCACGGATACGCAAAACAGATTAAAGTTTTCATGAAAAGTTTAACGGAAACGGCTGAGGATCACAGTTGCGCAAACCATCGTCAAATGAGAGCGTAAAATGAGATCCACTTTGTTCTGTAAGACGCGCCATGCGGCCACACAATTTTTATGGGCTACGCGAAGCCAAAGTTTGACGGATTTGTTTTTTAAAGTGGCCCGCGTGTTTCTTGCCGCTATGGATCTCATCTCCTAGGTATCGCCAAAATGGAAGCTCGAGGATATTTACTATATGTTTTCTTAAATTTCAGGAAATTGCAGACAAGTTTTTAAGGATGATAATCAATAACGTCTTTGACATCCTAAACGACGATGCCTACTTTAAGTCAACTTATGGTAGCAACTTCACCTGACAGTACTTGGACTTTGAACGTATGGGTTCCATGTGCAAATTTGCCAGATTAACATAACCTGGAAACATTTGTGCTTTCGGTATAGTAAATTACGAATATCGTTTAGAGCAAATTGGTCAGTCTCCTCTTCCACGGTTCGTCGCACTACTTTAAGGTTACCCTCTAAAATTTTCTGTGGTTTGTGTGTATCCTTTGTCGTAGAAACAGACCTATAAAGGAGTTATCTTTGAGATGCTCGAAGCCGAAATATATTCTGCTTCCTGCGAACCCACCGGCGCCAAGTATCCGGCGTATTCTTTCGAGTTTCTCCTCCAAAAGCTGCTGTACAGTCTCGGTGAGCTCAGTATTGAACCCTATCTTGATTTTGTAAATAAAGTGGTATCCAACTGGCGACCGGTATACTCGAGTTTTGGTCCTCGAAAAGCCCGAAGACAACACTATCCACGATGATGCTCTGTGTCTTTTTTAAATTAGCAGACATAGTTCTATGAGTTTGTTATTTCGGTTATTCAGCTACCTTTATTGAAGTTATTTTACTGGGTTGAAAGGCCGGCACTAGCTTGCATAATCAGTCCTTAGTTACTGCGTTCTCAAATCCAATGATCGGCCAATCCGCTTGGAAAGCGTAACCACCTAAACCGATCTTGTTATGGGTCTGTTTGCTGACGTGGGCAAGTAACCGCCAGTAGTTCGGGGGCATCAGTTGCCCTTATTGAATACCACTTTCAGGATTGTATGCTTCACGGTAGCTGGTATAACCAGCTCTTTACTGCGTCCTACATCCAATGGCCACTCATCCCAGTTGTCTCACAGAGCCATTTCGTTGATGCCTGATATTGTCGACGCCTCAAAAGACCAACATGTTTTGTCTTAGTTACTTAAATCTTTTCTGTCGATCTTCTGACTAAACGGCGTCCGTATGTCCTCGGCAATGATTGCCTTTGTATTATTTGCCACCAAACCAGTACGGGGCGTTAAATGAGGTGGACCATGAGAGGTATGCGCCGTGGCGGAAGTTGAATTCTATGAATGGTTCCGCTTTCCACTGCATCCACATAGAGACGTCAGTTCCAAATTACTTTTCGAAATAAGCAGCAAGTTACCTTTTGGTGCGCTCGCTGCCCCCTACAAGTAAGTATTTGTAAGTAGGATATTTTTTTCGTCTGTTGATATCTAAAAATTCTGTGGAATTGGTTCAGAGCCTATGTTGATTACCTCAACATACAGCGTTTATGGATTGCCATGAGCGCCGTTTGAGCAGCGGTCCCGTTTTGTCTATTGCAATAACATCAAGGTTTGGTTGGCATAACACTTTGGACGATTGGATGTGCATCCATTAATCTGCTGTGATATCCCTTTACTCGGTGACCTCGCCTAACAGTGAGTGCTTCCTTGAGTCCGCCGACATTCATTCATTGCTTGAGGAAGTGTTTTTATAATTGTGTCTTCAAAGGTGCTCCTTTCCAAGTAAATCTTATAAGTAATGCCACCTAGAGACACCAGATGGTGTCACTGACAGTACATTACCATTGTCATCACCGATACCAGTACCAGTCCTATTACTATTGCCATTACCAACACCAGTATCATTTCCATTTCCACTACTATCACAATTTCCGTTAACATTACTCTTACCACTACCATTACCATTATATTACTATTGCCATTACCACAAGTATAGTCATTACCATTACCACCACATTTGCCTTTATCATTATCATTACCAATTGGTTACCAATGTTATTAGCATTACCATTACCACTACCATTACCGTTACTATAACAATTATCATTATCATTACCATTACGATTATCTTTGCTACTACCAATACCATTGCCATTACAATTACCATCACCGCTACCATTAACATCTTTATTAACTTCTTACATCTTTAGATCTTTATTAACTACGAACATTCCCCATTGTAAGGATTTTGAAATCTCTTATGTTGTTTATACAAACAACTGCATTAACTTATGTTTATTCGAGCTACCGAAACATACCTTATATTTTATATAAAATAAAAATTACCGCGTTTGACTGAAGGTCTCACTGTCAATACTGGAACTGCCCATAAATACATATCTGGGGTCATAAGCAAATACCGCCTAAGTCGACTTAAGAAAGAATTGAGTTATATATGCTATCGTATTCTGCAACAACTATTCCATGTGTGTGTGTGTGTGAAATCCCAATCTCGCCAGCTAGGCTATTTAAAAAGTTCTAGACGAACATATTTTGGTTTCTCCATAAGGTTAACATTACAATCCAATTGTTTAAAACGTTTTTTCTCGCATTAAGGTTTTTCGACTTAGGCGGTTATTGTTTATCTCCACAGCTATATGTATATGTACTACTACCACATGTCAACTAAGTACGTGTGCTTTTAGATGTACACTTTATTAAACAACTTGTTGTTTGGGTTCAACTAGTTTTATTGTTGTTGTTTGTTTTGCCCAATGTTTTTTTCGGCATGATGTGGCTTCGATTTTTACCGCCACATGCCGCCTTTTTGTTTAGCAGTCCCTTGTTTATGTTTTGTTTCTAATTTCATTTCAATTTGCTTGTTCTTCTGTTTGTGTCCAACCTGGCTTGCGTACCCACCTACCTATTAAAACACACGTTCGTATGAAGTATTCGAAAAACGCCCAGCAACATAAAACTCTCACTAAAATTGCGCCGAATATGCTTCTGTATGTACATACATATACTGGCCCGCATGCACACAAAAACAAACAAATACACATACGTTTATCCATAGTAGTTCCAACTAGATTAATTGCATTTCCTATTCTTCTTTTTCACCTTACCATCTCTCTCTCTCTACCCGATTTCTATTTCTTTTTGCAGTGTATGTGTTCCTCAGCCCGCAACAGAGCAAAACGGAAATCAACGCTGACGGTAAGTTTAATTAATAATTTACATTGACGGTTTTCACTTGTGGTTGGTTCGTTGGTTGGCTAATACGATTCCAAGAAGATCGTTGGCAATGTAAATGTTTTGTCAGAATTGTTTAGTAATATTTTAGTTTTAGTAAATCTTACACTTTTGGGGTTTTGGCGTTTTCGCATTTTACGATAAATCAATTAGGATAAATATGTGTACAAAAAAGGTTTCTAATTAAGCTTGTGGCCAGGAATGAACAATATTAGTTGAGATGATTGAAATACTTTCTTATCAGGGGCTTCCTAATCGAAATTCCTTGGACTTTGAAACCATACTTGAGAAACTTTCAAAAAAAAAAACGACTGAACAATTCAAGTACGGTGGCGAGGAGTTGATACGGTGTATGCATCAACTCTTATGCAGAAAGACTGTAGCCCATCGTCAATGAACTGATTGGGCCTTATCAGTGTGGCTTTAGACCTGGCAAATCCACCATTGATCAGGTATTCACATTACGTCTAATCTTGGAAAAGACCCACGAAATAGGATCAACACTCACCACCTTTTTGTCGACTTTAAAGCCGCTTTCCGCATCACTGAAAGGAGTTGCCTATACGTCGCTCTGTCTCAGTTTGGCGGGGATGCCAAACTGATGCGGCAATACCACCAGCTCCTTCAGAATTGGGAAAGACCTCTCCCAGTCGTTCGTCACTAAACGAGGTTTCAGACAGGGCGGCTTCCTTTCACGTGACTTCTTCAATCTGATGTTGGAGAAGACAATAAGAGCTGCAGAACTGAACCGCTCAGGAACAACTTTTTTACTACAAGAGCATGCATGGCGACGACATTGACATTATTGATAAAAACAAGGGCTACGTCTGTTCTGTCTTCTCGGGATTAGATAGAGAAGCAAAGCGAATGGGACTTCGTTTATTTGGGAACCAGCATAAACCAACAATAATGCCAGCCTTGAAATCCAACGGAGAATCACTCTTGCCAACAAGTGCTACTTTGGGCTGAGTAGGCAATTGAGAAGTAAAGTCTCGTTGTACAAAAATCATATCTTATAAGTCATCATGCCTGTGCTGGTGTATGGCGTGGAGGCATGGACAATGAAAACATCTGATGAAGCGGCTCTTAGAGTTTTCGAGAGAAAAATTCTGCGCAAGATTAACGGGCCTTTGCTCGTTGGCAATGGCGAATATCGCAGACGATTTAACAATGAGCTGTATGAGCTTTACAACGATATAGACTAGACATGGTGTAGCGAATTAAAATTCAGCGGTTAGGTAATTTCGTTCGAATGCACAGAAACGCTCCAGCTCTGAAAGTATTCAGCGCGGGTCGGGATCCTGGTAACAGAGGAAGAGGAAGGCCTCCTCTGCGTTGGAAAGACCAGGTGGAGAAGGACTTGGCTTCTCTTGGCATTTCCAATTGCAGAAATTTTTCTTTCTATTTTCAATCAAATTCTTTTCCTTTTTTAATTTCATATAATTTTTAGAAACTCATCTTATGTATATTTTTCTTTCTTGATTTAATTTACATTTAAATTTTTACATGCCATTCTTTTATAAAGAAGAATATTGTGATTAATTTCATTAAATTTTTATGAAGTTCTTTTATTTTTTGAATTTAAGTTTTCTTTTTTTTGTTTGATGTTTTTAATTTAAATTTATTTAATTTTCTTTTTTATTGTTTTAAAATGAAAAATATATTTGTTTATTTAATTTAATTTTTAGGATCTTAAATAACATTTGGTTTTTTTTTTATTAAAATTTTCCAACTTTTATATTGTGTTTTAAAAATAATTTTTGTTTTAATTTTATTTAATTTTTACGTACTATTTTTTATTTAATTTCTAAAAATAGTTTTATTTATCTTTGCTTTGATTTAATTTAATTCTCATTTTTAATATAATTTTTATTTTTATTTAGTTTAAATTGGTTTAAAAAGAAGAATATATACATGTGTATATTTTTTAAATTTAATAAATTTTTTTTTAAAAATTTATTGCTAAAAAGCGAACAGCATAACGTTAAGACCTCCCCGTTAGTAGATCTTTCAATTAGTCTTTCGAAAGACAGTAAAGAGCTTGCAAGATAGTTGCCAGAATTGATAATTGCCTTACGAAAGACCACCCCTTGTTAGGCTCGATCGAAAATTTATGAAAGCCTTCTGCCCTTTAGCGCCTTTACTGTTATGTAACTTGTGTACTTCTTATTTGTACCACCTTAGTTCGCATTACCTAGCGTTAACACAAGCAAAAATGCATCGACATACTTTCTTACTCACAGGTGTCGCCAATACTTACTTCCGAATCTTTTGTTATCATATCCGTTACAAAAGCTCGATTTTTCTATTAATCACCTGTACGTTATTTAATTAATTGCTTTTAATGAAAATTGCATCCGCTGTTTTATTAATAAGAAAGAGAACAGGTAGTGGAGCTGCATTAGCTGTCGGTCTAATTTATTGTACTTATTGGACACATGGCGTGCCAACCGCCGGTCAGCAACTAATTCACTGGTGCAGCAGAACAAATTGTTCGCGATAGAGCACGAACGACACCCGTTGGATAAATGACTTGACAAACTATAGTATATATGCAGGCGCTCACTTTTGTTGGTATGTGTGTATGTATGTATGTACGCGAATTGTATAGTTTGTTATGTAGCTGATAACCAGGGTTGGCACTTTGGTAAATTGCTACCAAAATTGATAAACAAATTTGGGTGTTCGTTTGTTCTTTTCTCAGTGTATGATTGCCTAAATATTTTAAATGATTCTTTAAATAAAAAGAAAAAAGTGGACATATATGTAACTATACACTATGATTGTTCACAAAAAAGTGAAAAAAGCAACGTTAGGTTTTATAAATGAGAATTTTTTAATGAAAAAAAAAAAAAAAAAATCACAAAAGACCGGCGGCAATTTTTTCCTGCATATTTTTGGTTATACTAAAATTCCATGGGCTATAAAACTGCATACTCAAAATTGTTTTGAAAATTCAGAGTAAAAAGATCGAAATTTAGACGATTTTTTTTTTTATAAATATATATAAGTTAAATGCTTAATTTTTATGGGTTTAGTTACCGATATCGTTATACAAAAAAAAATGCAAAAAAATCTTTACTTGAGAAACACAGTGCACATTAAAAAAAAAAACTTACAATCGGTTTTTGAGTCATTGTATTTGTCTATAAAAACTCGTATGCTCTCAAATACCATGCCATTAGTTAAGTAAAAAGTTCCTTAGTAAATTTTTTTTTTAATTTTTATGGAAAGAACTAAAAAAATAGAACAAAGCTAGAGTTTTTATTCAAATAACCAGAAAAAATTTATTGGTAGTTATTTTTCAGGTTTGGCAGATATTCTTCATGTGGATGATAGGTATTTTTTTTTTCGTCAGTGGCAACCCTTCTGATAACGATGATGATATCCTTTGCCATTTACGGCATTAACTAGTCACAACTTAACTGAGTAAATATTTACTTAAGCAGTATGCCCCACAAGGCGTCTCTACTAAATAAATACTACATACAAATGTACATATATACTACATATGTATGTATGTAAATATGAAAACAATTCTGTTGCTCTGCTAACAGTAGCATACCTGCTGTTGCAATTCCTGTTTCTATATTCGAAACGAATGCTTTTTGTTTGTTTTCAATTTTCTGTATTGCCTTTGGTTTTTTGTTTTTGTTGACTGCGCTAGGCCAACATCGTAAATATTCGCATGGCGTCAAGTGTCACTTTATCTCGATGATTAATTTCCAATTCAACGTTAGACAGGGCTGGAAAGTAAACAGGCAGCGCGGCTCCACCACCAGTTTCCCCTAAGTATGTATGCTGGTTTCAAGTTAGTTGGTTGCTGTAAGATGTGTGTGTGTGTGTGTGTGTGTGAACAGGCTCATTTCGCTTCTTGTTGTCCTTTGCCTATGCATGTCAGCTGTAGACGAGAAATAGGCAGCAATGCGGGCGGAAAGTTTCTAAATTAAGGTGTACTAATGAATTTTCCGTAATTTGGTTGGCAAAGCAGCGAATGTTGTACTTAGACGTCAGCACAAATTGCCAAGAAACCACTTAGAAACGCGAGCTGTAAAAGTTTATTTCACAGTAGTTGGCGCCTATAGACTGACTGAAAACTTCACTTCCATGATGTGTGTGTGTGTGTGTTTGTGTGTATTTAAAAAAATTTATTTTTCAAAGTAATCAGATTGTATTAAGAGCACACGAAACGTAAACACGAAAAGATAACTTGACGAGGAGAATGGTGGGTATTGATATCATGACATTAAAGTCAACGTTAATTTACATATGTATGTTACATATTAGGATAGTCCACAAATACAACTAAGATCAACTTTGCCCCCTCACTAATTATAGAAAATTAAAAAGAGAAACCCGCATTTATTTACTTTTTTAAATTGGTTAATATTTATGTAATTATCCCACCAGGGCTTTGAAGTTTTCCAGGGTTTTAAAATGGGGAAAATATTTTGTTTTGTAAAGTCGCCATAAAATCATCAAAATAAGTATATTTTGATCGAATAAGCATTTTTCCTTTCAGAAATCTTCAAATCATAAAACTATGGCTGTGTTCAGAACTGCATCAAGCCAAAGCATCCGCCTCTTTTTCTTCACAGAGCAATGCAAATATAACTCTTAAAATAAATCGCAGATTTGAAAAGACCACAGTGATGCAGTAGTGCATTAATTTTGGGTAAAAACCGCAGTAGATCTACTGCAATTGCAGTAAAGTCCGAACGCGGATACCGACTAATCAGTTTAGTTACCTTTGGCGGTGATCTTTTCGCGCAACTTTGCCATTATATTGTTACCCAAATTCACAAAGGCCCTAATCAACACATTTTTAATTTCAATGGTAAATCACCCCAATAACTGGAAGAGTTGAGAATATTTTAATCTATCCCTGCCGGAAACCTCGAACTAGTGAATCAAATTTCTAGTTCCGTACTAGATCTTTATCGCCAAAACCGAACCAGTCTGAT